TGGTGCTCAGAAAAATACAGATAATTTCAGAAACTATCCATCCAAATAAGCTTACTTGGATTGCACTTTTGGTAGCATCAGGCCCACTGATGGGTGCAACAATAGTGTGTAACCAGCATGGAGGGTGCCTTCTGAGTATAAATGACATATTTTGGTGATCTTGTCCTACATTATCTTACATTTTTATCGATTTTATATATATATATATCTATATGCATGTATACCTAATTAGTAAGGAAAGAGTGAAAATGTCATACTGGAAAATTTATGAACCGGGATTTTTAAAATAGTGCTCGGTACTTTACATGTTTATTGAACAGACTGCAGATGCAAGCTTGACTGTTTTGTCAAATACAGTTTTATGAACAGTTGGAATTTCATTCTTCACAATGTGCTGGTGCTATGAAGTGGTAACAAAAAGCAATTAGTGAAGTAAGCATAAAAAGCATTCATAAATAGAAAAGTTAATTCATTCATTATTTCATGCTTTCGAAGCTCAAGGAAACATAGGTCAGAAAAGAATAAATATCATAGTGGTTAGTTTTCACAAATAATTACATTTTTAATTGAAAATGTCAGTGAAATCAAGGTCTATTGAATAGTATTCATATACTTCCAAAGTAATTCAGACTGCAGTAATTTCTGCTGTCACATATCTATGTTTTAATAAAGGGCAGGTAAACTGACAAGTCAGCAAGGCGATTGTATAATAGCATTTAAGAAGGAGTTTGTATATGGAGAGAAGAAAAAAATAAATTCTTTAATTTTATGTGTGATTTCTGTAAGAGATTGAGTAGGCTATTTTTTAATAACTCACAGTCGGGTGGGAATTGCAGCTAAGTTACAAAAGGCACTGTTACTAAAAATAATAAAAATTCTGGGTGTAGCATTTCTAAAAAGATAAGAGGGTAGTTTTTTGGGATAGATCTGGAACTAGATAGCTATGGCATTTTTATGAAGTCATTTCACCTTGCTGTTCATCAGTGAGATGAGAAGATATCATGGGGCAATCACACAAAACTACGTGGTTAGACACAGGCCACTCTGACAGTCTTATTTTTCTAAGTCATTTAAATACTACATTACAGGAAGGGAAACCTTTTATTTTAATTGATATCCTTTTCATGAGCATTGTGATGAAGAAACTTTTGCTCCTAGGAAAATAGGGATCAGGGTTTACCTGCCAGGTGGAGCACACTGAGATTATGAAGATGAGAACTGCAAAATAAGAATAGCATTTTATATTAGTGCATTTCTCCCTTTGTGTTAGACACTTTCTGATTTTGCTCCAGTAGTATCTAATTCTTGTCATCTCATTCTTTTAACATTGTTATTTTTTATTTCAGAGAATCCTTATTTTTCACACAAAGTTTGTATTAATACTGCAAATCATCTTACTCTTGCTGCCTGAGAAACAGAAGGCTCGTCCTGTATTTGAATGGGGTTTGATAACTTATATCCATGTCCAGGCTCACCTCTCCTCCCTCTCTGTCCATATGTAATAATCCAGGAAACACCTATTTTTTATAATTTAATTTAATTTAATTTAATTTTATTTTATTTATCTTACTTTTGTGGGGGTTTGGTCTCATTCCGTTCTGCCTGTACAAAACTGCATCTTTCCAGTGTAGATGTGAATGCTGTCCCCTTGTGGATGATGCTCACAGTCTTTGCTGCCTGTAAAACTGAGCAGCATCCTGTTTAAGGTGGTGTCTGGTGCATTGCATTCATTTAGCTTTTCTAAAGGACAGAGTGAAGGTTTTTTTTGTATCTCATCCCACTGTCAGCTGAATCCTTCCCAGAAAAGATGCAAAGCTGAGGTTATTTTTTTTCATCTGTGAGGCGTCAGTTGATGCAGCAAAGTTGTCTGGCTGAGGTATAAGCCTGTTAAAAAGCACCTATGTTAGCAGCTGAATCATTTTCTAGGCCTTTTTTTTTTTTTTTTTTTTTTTTTTTTTCCCGGTTTCTACTAATGAAAACAGCTGTGTCATTAAATCCAGCAATCGATCTCCAATTATAGCCTGTCTTGGGTAGCCCGGTGTCCTGCCCCAGCAGGTGCCCTCCCTTCAGACAGACCCCCAACATCAGCCTCTGACTCTGCTGTCAAACATGTATTTGCTACCCCTGTCCCATACCCATTCCTAGCACCCCTAGAAGCACAAATTCCTCCCCAAAATATCATTGCCACGGCACGGGCTAATTCTGCTATTTGGCATTTGCAGTGCTCCATGGACTATGTGTTCTGCTTCTCCAGCTGAAAAGCAGATCTGTGGTTAAAAAAGGTGTGGTTCTGCTTGGAAATAGAGGCAGTGTACAAACAGTGATGTAACTGTAAATGTAATGAGGGTTTCTTCCACTAATATTATTGAGTATAACAGCAGAATAGGTCAAATTTAAGAGACCAAAATTCTGGATACCTGCTACATGGATTCTTTCTTTCCTCTTGAGAAACTAAGAGAAGGATTTGTGACAGTTGCCAGAGCATTTTTATGACAATCTTTTCGATCTTTTCAGGACCTGCATAGCAATAAAAAGAAGTTAAATAGATGACATTTAAGTGTCACACAGTGAACAGTTACAGTCAAGATTTCAAAGTGGTTCTGCTCATATTCAAACTAAATGGTTCTTTTCTCCTTGCATTGCAGGGGAATTTACTGTACTATGTATGCAAAATGTAAATGGTTAATTCTGTGAAATTCAAACATACATACGAAAATGTCTTTCAAACTTTTCTGCACTTACCCTCAAACTGAAAATGGATTTTCCTAGTGGTTTAACCAGAAACAAGTTGCTCCTAAGCAGGTTGAGAGAAGAGTTCCATAATATTGGATTAGTAAAAGGAGTGAACAGCTTCAGTTTAATTCAACTAGTCTTGTATTTTTAATCTCCAAGGAAACAGCTGAGTTGAATGTTAATTAAACAGCAGTCTTTGATCCACCCAGCCACTCCCGGAGGCATAATAATATATAAGCACACAGCAGCAAATATATAATAGGTACATTGAAAAGAGTGCATCTAACCTTGCCATTTTCACATTTAAATATGTTTCTTGCTGAGCCATTCTGATACTATTTAAATAGGGAAAAGGAGAATGAGGGCAAAGTGCTAAGTTAAATTTTGATGATCTGAAAGGTAGGGCACCAGAGCAAGTGTGAGTTCCTACTCTGAGGATGTATAAGGGTTAATGATTAGAAGAGTGGAATCAGGAAAGACCTTAAGCCCAGATCTATGACAGTGGTAATTGAGCTGATTGATTACGACATCTCGTTTCAGACTACTATTGATTTAATCTAGTCTGCAGTCCCATTGGCCCCAGAGGTGCTCCTGAGTGAGTCTCAGCACTTGAACCTGGGTACTCTTCCCTGCTCATTGTCTGGATATAAATTTCCAGAATCTGCAACCATTTATAATTTTCCCTCATCTTCATGCTTTTATTCAAAAGCTTCTGATTTCGTCAGGCTAATGTTTTTAACCATTGAGGGGGCAGACGCAGGGAACGTGAAATGGCACAGACTGAAAAGGGTGGGTTTGTAAAAAAAAAGAAAAGAGAAAGGCAAGGCAGAGAGCTGGGTTCTGTGGCTATTTGCATCTGTTGTTTCTGATTCGCAGAGCTAGCAAAGGCTGCTTTTGGAGGCAGTCCACAAATCTGGGTGATCTGTAGGCAGTTTGTTGTACGCACATGTTCAATTATTAAAATCATAGACTTTTTTTCTGTCTGATAGCCATAGAGAGGTCATGACATTAATTTATCCAGGGTATTGTGGGTAACTATACAGAAAAAAAAAAGTATAAAGGGCACAGATGCTGGAGCAGCAAAAAATGGATGGGTCTGAGCAAAAGGAGATTAAGAGGCGATGACCAATCTAATGTACGTATAGCAGTAAGAAGCCTGCATCAGTCACAGACTATTGATGGCAATGAGTATTTTAAGCCATGCTGTGCATGTGTTAATTTTTTTTATACCTCAGTAAATGCAAAGCTGAATGCTGTTATCCTGTTTTTTTTTAATAATTCCCCAAATCTGAATTCAGTCTTGTTTTTGTTGTCTCATGCTTGGCGTTCTCTGCTCGCTGTCTGTCTCTGTCTGTGGGTGTGTGTCTGTCTCCGTCTCTCCCTTTCTCTGAGATTACAAACTTAACTGTTTCCTAATTGTCTGTTGTCCTCCATCCTTTCCCTAAAAATTAATTACCATCATGACAGCTGGATGTAAATGCATATTAACTGGGCTTAGGGCGTGTACCCTAGCGTTCTGGCTTCCTTTCTTTATGTTGGGGCTGCACAGTGTTTTCTTTTGGACCTTTCCTGCGAGCAGATGCCCTTCACATTTGCTGCCACCCTTAGGTTGCCAGACAGCTACCTGAGCCTGGGCTGCAGTGTAGCACTGCATCCTGGGACCTGCCGAGAGTTCCTACGGCACCAGGCAGCTCTGAGAATTGGCTGGCGAATTGCGTATCACCTGTCCCATTCCCCCTCCCTCCTCTGGTAAATAATTTTCATACCGCGAATCACAGTGGTGTGGTATTGTCTGGAAAAATAATTCCCAAATACTGTTGGCGTAAAAAGGGAAAAGCCGAAAGAGTGTCAACACCGTAAGTCATTAAAGTCCCTTGCCTTAAGAACAAAGGAACAAGGTAAAAATGCACACAATAATTATGCTCTGTGGATTTTCATAGCGTGTCCGACGACTTGTGCCTGTGTTTCAGTTAACAGCCTTTGTGCTTTGTTTTGTGTTGTATATTTCATATATGTGTCTTGAGTTTTTGTGTGTGTGTGTGTGTGTGTATTCAATGTACACGTATGTGCACAGACTTCTTTACCAACACGGAGCAAATACCCTCCAGATAAATACACAAGTGTAGCTCAAACATGCACTTTCAGTACTCGGTGTGGTGATGCGGTTGTATTGCCATTGTTCTCTTGCAGTGCTCCCTCTGACACAAGCAGCTTCTATTTTTTATTTTATTTTCATCAAGATGTCTAAAATAAATAAATAAAAAAAAGAGAAAAAAAACTACTTAGTCCATTTAAATGCCAATTGAAGTCCAGAAACTCATGATTTCAGCACAGTGAACGGTGATTCAGACCCTGGCAGTGTTTTGGCTATGAGACAATTTCTACTTATAAAGAGCACAATGAGTGGTGGTGGGGGAAATATAGCATTAATTTTGAGGAAGATTAATATTAGTCTTTTTAATGCTCATGCTTTTCTGAAGAAATGAATCCTTGTAGCCTTTGAGAGCTAGTGTGTCCTTCCCACTGGTATTTATTCAAGCAAAGAAAAAATGAAGAAGGCGTAGAATAAACTCCTAAGACTGTTCAAGAATTACTGGCATTATTTCTCTCGACATCACGTGTGAGCCTGGGTTGCCTGCTATTCCCGAGGCAGAGGATCGAGGATGAAAGTCTGTGTGTCAGAGACTGTTTTCACAACTGCATTTGGAGATCTGTCTTATTGATTAGGAAAAAAAGGGGGTGGGAATAGGAGTGTGAGGTGAGGGGAGGACCGACTGACTACTGGCTTATTGCAGCTCAAGACATTTTCTTCCGGAAAGATGTCAAACAACTGAGACACAGCAACAGAGGAAGTAGAAAGGTGGAAAAATAAGAAGAGGGACCTTTTGGAAGAAATGAAGGCATTCCTTATGAGAGCCTTGAGGCTTTTTTTTTCTTCTAACATCTGACCCACAAGGGCTAGAGTGACAGCGTCATGCAAATGCTGCAGTCCAGCAGGTCTGAGAGAGGGTGGATGCTAGAGAGTGAGTTAATGTTAATGATGAGTGCAGTGAAAATACCAGCCGATACCACCCCCTCCACACACAACTGCTCTGAGTCAGCATCCGCTGCTTTGCCTTGCCTTTTTGTGCGTGTGTGTGTGTATGTGCGCGCGCATGTGTATGTGTGTGTATGTGTGTGTGTGCGTGCGTGTGCTAGTGACTGTGTGTGTGCATGGAAGGTAAAGCCAGTCAGTCAGTGAGAAGCAAAGGTACGTTTGAGAGCAACTAAAATCTGACTGATTTCCATCTTCAGAGCATCAGATGTATTCCCTAAAGAGGATGGGTCTCTGCGATGGGGGTGGTATAATTATGTTAATGTCATATTTATAGAGGGGAGAGATTTTTCATTCTAATTATTGATTTGAAGGCTGTGGTCAAAATTGTTTGTTAAATCATGATCAGCTTTAGAAAAAGAAATGGAATGAAATCTAGGGACTGCTATACATATATATCTCTCTGATATATATATTGTTTCTTTTAACTATTTTGTGTCTGAGGCATAACTGGTTGAATGGTGCACAGTGACAAAGAAACGGCTCTTATATAATGTTGCATTATATCATCAGCTGAAATAATATTTTAATAATCCATAATGTTCTGAAATCTGAAGTATCATTCTGGAGGGGAGGGTGAAGGGCAGGGGTGGGGGTGGGGGGGCACTGGCAAATCTTTTCTTCAGCAGAGCACTCTGAACAGCTTTCTTGTAAATGGATGATTCACCTGTTCGACCAGCAGAGATTCTAATTTTTCCCCCCTCTTCTCTTTTTTTTTCCTTTTTAAAGCTGAACGGCTTCCCGAAGAGCACTGAGTTTTCTATGCCAGAGTCTGCTCCAGTGGCTAGGACCTTTATGGCTGCTGTTTCTTTTGCTCTGGGCTCTGATGGAGGAAAAAAAAAAAAAAACCACTGTGGATCCCATCCCTAAAGTAGAAATTTTCTTTTTCATTCTGCAAACAAGGCTAAAGATCGAAGGAGAATGAATGCAAAAGTAATTCAGGATTGTGGTCGTGCCATTAAAAGTGTTTGGCTTCAGAACGAAATTATTCAGGAAATCTGAGCATTTCTTCCTACTGTATCGACAGTATTTGAAAGTTATGTGTGCTTTGAGTAATCTGGTTCAAGTGACAACAATCTCTGCATGTCAATGTTTTCTACAGCTAATGGAGCGAAAGCTAGTATTGCCACTGGAAGGGATGAAGCTTTTGCTATCAGTCTGTAGAAGGATTAAATGTTGAATGTGGGGAAGAGGCAAAAAGTGAATACACACCCAAAGGTTATCCTTGCGTCGTGAATGGGTTTAAAGTACTCTGTAACCCAGGGCCCACCTGAACTGTAGAACTAAAAGTATAATGGGGAACTAGTTCAATTAGAAACTCCTTCACAAGCATTTAATCCTTCTTTCAGGCATTAAGGGAAATAGAATAAAATTGTTACTGTAGAAATCTGCTGGAACCAGGTTTTAACCCATTTTTAGATGCTTCCCTCTGATGCATTATAATATGGCTACTTGCAAGACAAGGCAGTGAAGAATTTTTTCCTGTGTTCTTTGTTTTTTCTTTTTCAAAAGTTAAGGACTATAAGAAAAGTCTGCTCAGTCAGCTGATACATTGTTTGAATGTATGTATGCATCTTGCCTGCTTATTTGATCTTTTCTGCCCCCTACTTGAAACTGTGGATTGTGGATTTGGGGGGGAAGGAGGGGTTGTTAATTCGGGGGGAATATTGTTTTTTTGGGTTTGTTTTGTTTTGGTGTTTTTAACAATAGCAATGAAAGTTTTAATGACAGCGATTATGAATACTGAGCAATTCAATTTATTGGAAGACGATTTCTACTGGATCATATTGGACTTTTCCTAGTCCCTGAGACCCTAACTTGTGAGGTTTTTTAGCAACAATCACAAGTCAGGCTCTTGGGACCTAGGCGGAGGGGAACCAGCAGCTTTGGACTGTGATTGTTTCTCTACAGAATTTAGAAAACCAAAGGAGCTTTCCTTGTCTGGAAGCAAAAAAGGAAAATATACCTATTTCAAATGTTTCGCAGCAGAACTGTTCCTGAGAAAAAAAAAAGCTGTTATCCATTGTGCAACATTAGGATGCTACGTATTTGCATGTTTAGAAAACTGGGCTAGATATCATATTACATTTAGGATTCAAATTTAACCTGAATGCCAGTTTGCACCTCAAGAAGAAAAAAAAGCAAACAAAAAAAATCACACACCCCCCCCAAAAAAAAGAAAAAACCCCATTCAAAACAGATATTAGAAGATGCAAAAGTCTTTCAATGATAATATCATTATCACAGATAATTTTGACAGATAATTACCACATACAATGTATGGTATACCTATACAGTATGTATGCCAACACAGTATACTTTCGGCTATATTGTTACAGCATTAATTAACTTTTAACAGATAAAGCATGAACACTGATACCTGAGGCCTAGAAAACAATCATTTTATTGTTGTTTGAATAATGATTTCAGTCTACAGGAAAACTGTTGCTTAGTTTTTCCTGTAACATGGGACAAAGCTTATTTTGTAGTTAGTTGCCATCATTTGTCTTTATCTAAGTAAGAACACAATATGGCATTTAAAATATTTTCCCATTTAATTTACATTTTAAACTGATGGAGAATATTGGTGTAAAAATCATACCACAGCATTAAAAGCACTTTGCACACAGAATCACATTTCTTGTACCTGTTCAGTTTATACTGAACAGTCAGTACTCTAAGCACTGGACTCAAGTTCTATTGTCTCCATCACTTTTTGCATTTTTCCCCCTCTAACAAAAAACAGAGTGAGCTTTGGTAGTCCCTTCTGTGTTCAGTACTTAGCTGACTTTGCATAAAAATATTCATAAGCACAGAAGTTATTCTGCACTGTTCGTTAGACTTGAACTTCTGATCAACCAACACATAATCCTGTTTGTATTTCTTAATATTTTATAGGTGGGTTAGTTCTGAGTCAGTTTTCTCTGTTTCCTCTGTCCATAACCCAAGATGCTGCAGGAACTTATTGGTGCATCAGACTTCACTGAGACAAAGGCTTCACACAGATTAGGCATCTAAACTATTTGATCATTTTAGAAGTGGTATTTTTGCTGCAGTATATTTTTCCACTTGTGTGGGAAGAATTGGGTTTTATTGTAAACATCAACACTACTGTTTAAATAAATTGTTCTTATCTGTTAGTATAATACTTTTTCTTGTCTTGTTTTCTTAAGGGACAGAAACTATGTGCTGTATGTAGTTTTCAAGTTACTCAAGATATAATTAGTCTTTAAATACTCATAAAAATATTGCCTTAGCAATTACAGTGACGGTATAGTTCCTGTAAATATGCAATTATTTTCTTTGTAAACTGTCAATCCCACATGCTAAGAACACTCAAAAGAGCTACTTTCAAACATTCAGAAACAGAGGTAATTTTTAACATACATGAGTTATTCAACATTGACATCCATTTAGGCAATATTAGAAAAGTAGATCTGAACCTGTATATAAAAGACAAATGTACCAGCTAGGTGCTACACTTACAAAGCGCTTCAGTAGCCAGTGACACGTATTATGTACGAGAATTTTCAGTACAAAAATGGTCTATTTAAGATCTTGATCAGGTAAAGAGGTATTTCGTTCATTCAAGCTATACAATAAGATAAAACTGTGTTGTGTGTGGGTACATGACAAAATGCAAATTAAACTATGCATAGTATTAATCAAAATAAAAATCCTTGTACATTTAATCCGATATATGATGCACACGTCTTTACAAATTAAAGATTTTCACTGCGTTTATTTTTGAATCAGCAAATTTTACTTTTGTGTGGATGATTAACTTTTAGCACTCTGAATTCATTTTACATTTAACACTGTACATACAATGAAGGTGAAAGTATAGTGTGAAACGTCTGGCATCCTGAAGATTTCAAGTGTGTTCTACCCTGCCCTGAGAGAGGGAAGAAAATGAGTCATTAGAAAATCCCTACCTGATTTATTTGGTGCATTAGAAAATCCCTACCTGATTTATTTGGTGCTAAAGCAAAAACTGTAAATAGTGAGTACAGCCTCTGCATTACTGTTTGAACTGGGATAACTCCAGTGGCTCTTCACTGCCCATTGTACTCATTGCTGCCCCTTGCCATAGAGATGAAAAAGTTGGTACACAGCCTTCCTTTTTCCCTCCCTCTTCTTCTCCAGTTTCAACCCAGCAAACCTAGACTCTGGTACACCCTGAACTCCTTGCAGTGGGGCACAGGTGGGTGGAGTCTCCCCGTCTTTAAGCAGGCAGAATTCCCACCATGATCAACAAGATGTTTCCCTATCCTGGGACTGCATGACAATGCTTACAGATGCCATGCAGAAGGCAGTCTTATTTACACATTGACAGTATATGAAAGCTGTCTCTATTAACACACATAACTGGAAAGCAAATATGTTATGCTTAGCTATATGTACAGGATTTCAATATATTCTCATTTCTATATGGTTTTATGTTCTTTGAGTCCAAAATGCTTTTAAATGCTATTTAATATGTGATTTCAGAGTAATCAGCTTGTGCTACAACAAAAACAAAAAAACCAAAACACAAGCTCCTGCAAAGGGGGAGGAAAAGAGAGAGAGAGGGTGAAAATGATGCGTGGTGCATACAAAAAAGGAATGATATTAACAATTCGATGAATTCCTAGTTGGTAGACCAGACTGAGCCAGACGCATATATTAACGGCTGTCTGCTGCTGATGTGAGCCTGCTCAATGCGGTGGAAATGAAGGATCACCTAGTCTCTGACACCAGCTTATTTGTACATTTTAATTTTTAAAAGGAAAATCACTGTTTTACATAAACATCTTAACCCCTGCATGATTTTCTTTCTTTTTTCCTCCCTCATATTGTTTGCTAATTTGCTGTCAACTTAAAGTGCTGTTTAGCTACAACCACACAAAACATCAGTCAAAAAGCAGAGGGAAGTATTAGCTTCTCTTTTGTGTGCCATGTACAACTGGGTTCTTATTATGATAATTGTCTACTTTAATTTTTAGTCTTCATGGGAGATGCAACAATTTTCCAGAGCTTCATTTTGAAGCATTTTAAGTTTCAACAAGATACCATTTCAGTTTAAACCCAAACAAAAAAAAATGCTTATAACTCAAGCTAGGGTGATTTGATCAGTTCTTTCCATTAACCTAAAAGTCTTCAACACCTTAATAGAATATTATATATATGGGACAGGATCTCTTTTCAAACCATATAAACACTAGGATCCGTTAATACAGTGCTGAAGACTGATACATGAGTCAGGGGAATTCCAATCCAAGTTAATTACTGTTGGAATTAGAGGAAAGAATATTTTACTTGAAGTTGCATAACAAGAATCTACGATTATCACATTTCAGGGCATTGCTCTATTCATTTGATGAAAAATGTCAATGAAGTTTAACAGAAGATGTTCTACATTTCCATGTGTAATGAAAATCGGCACGTTCACGATTAGCTAACATAACATTTTCAGTGTGTTAATATGCAGTGCAGGAAAAGATTTCTGTAGGCATTAAATGTAGCCATCAGTTTTATTTGCTCATGTGATGATTATGCTCAGTTCCTGACTGGGTACTTAATTTCACACTGAAAACCAGTCATCTCCTCTTAGGAACTGGCTAAAAACCCACAGAAAAAAATACAAGAAAGACTGACTTCTGCCTGAGGTCTATAAGGTAGGTAGTCAGATAGACAATATGTGTAACAGGAAAATAAAATCTAGAATCCTATTGCTCAGATAAAAGTAGCTTTATTTTGTCATGTTCATTTAAAGTGTTTTTGTCCAAACAATTTATCTGAGACATTCATCACCTTGTTAAATTTTTTCATTCTTTGATGATTACAATAGGCATCTTCAGAGTTTGTTGGATGCTGCATAGTTCCATTCCTTGGGAACACGAGAGTTATTCTTACCTGGTGAGTTATATTCTAACCAGAATCTACCCATACTAATTTGCTCGCAAAGCTGTGTTTAGTTGCAGTGCCTAAGTAGCAACAAGTGGA